TTACTTTTTAAAATAGTAAATGCAATGAGTAAGTACAACGAGTATATAAAATATAAATATTAGTTTAGTTTAGTTTAGTTTTCTTATTAATATTAGTTTAGTTTTCTTTGCTTATTAATATTAGTTTAGTTTTCTTTTCTTTTTTTTCTCACATTGTCTGAAAATAAGTAATCTGATATTATTACAACTTATCTTTTTACAATTATGTTAAATAAGTAATCTGAAAGACTTACATTTGACTGCCATTTAAGATAGTCTTTTTTGCTTTTATATATTATATAGATGACCAAACTTTTGACTGAATTAAAAATTTAGAAATTTCATAATTGCTTTTTGAAAATAGTGGATTCATATGTTATTACTTTTATTCCATAGTACTTGCTATATTTAGAATTTTATATTCCTTAAGAAAACTATTAAATTTGTCTAAGTTACAACAAATCATATGTAAATTGATTATATTACCCTTAATTTAATACGAATCTCTAAGAAACTATTAAATTGAAGTACTAATTATTGGTCCTATATAAGGGTAAACATGAAAAAAAGTGAATTTATTAATTCTTGAAAACTACAAATATGATAAATATTTTAAAACAAACTATTTTTTGAAACTATGTAAATTGAAGTACTAATATGTGTGCCCTATATTAAGGGTAGACATTCATATAAAAATAAGTGAAATTTTATTAATTTCTTTGAAACTACAAAGTAGGTGATAATAAATAGTGTTTAAAAACAACTATTTGTTTTTTTTCAAGAGGGACAGTAATTATGTTGTCTCTTAGTGTTATAGAACTTCAACTAAATTGATTATATTACCCTTAATTTAATACGAATCTCTAAGAAACTATTAAATTGAAGTACTAATTATTGGTCCTATATAAGGGTAAACATGAAAAAAAGTGAATTTATTAATTCTTGAAAACTACAAATATGATAAATATTTTAAAACAAACTATTTTTTCAGAGGGACAATAATTTGTTTTCTTCTTATTATAGAACTCAACTACTAGATAAAAGCTCGGCTCGCATGGCAAGTGTAAGAATTATGATGACACAAGTTCAAAATTTGAATTAAACTGTCTTTTTCATCTTCCCCTCGCAGGCAACTTTTTATATGTAAAATAATTAGTTTTACACTTTCTTTCTAAACAGTCTCTGGAATCTTCAGTTTCATCCGGCTATGGCTGTTACTCAAGACAACAATGTGAGAGATATTGTCTCTCCGCATTTTCACCATTAACAGTATATACTTTGCATGAACTGTTAATTCTTTTCACCTTTTCTGTCTGCAGACTAAGCGAGGGAGGCCGAGGACGATGAAGGAACATTTGTTTAGAAGAAAATCTTCTTGTCTAAACAAAAGCCCTCAGAAGAAAGTGAGAATTTGTTTTTTTTATAGTTTGTAATTGTCTGTTTCTCGTTTGGCCTGTCAACTGTTATTGCTTTGGGTTATTTGAAGATTTTTCAAGTCTTAGGAAACAAGCAATAGGAATCTATCCTTTTGGTATTGGTTATGATCCTGACCCTGAAAGGTTGTTAAACGAATTTATGGTACATGGGCTTTTATTTGTCAAACTATTGTGGTTATGAAGATAATTGCAAAATATATGATTTCTATTTGATGGCATTTGTGCTGTTCGTTTGTTTCTTTATTTGCTGTTATTTGTTTGTTTATTTCTGGAGCTCAGAATCAATGTTGGAGAATTGATAGATATAGAAATTTATGACAACAGTATATTTTATTAGCGAAAGAGATTTACAAAATTCAGGGGACAAGTACCTCTCTTTTAATTTGAACTTTGAAGAGGGCTTGCTTGTGTTGAATGATTCTGATTAGTATGATAAATCCAGAATTTTCTTCCCACGTCGGCAGGAGACACAAAAAGCAATCAGAGGTTTGTTATCATTTTTCAATGTCCTTAAAACTGTCTTTCTTTTTGTGGCAGTAAGTTAAGAACAGTCCAGATGGGTAGGTAAACAACAACAATAGCTTGATTCTTATTTTCTTTCTTTTCTTTTCTGAGTTCATTTTTTTGCTGGATTTTTAGATTTATTTGCTGTGAGATCACTATGTATTTCTCTTATCATTCACATGATTGCATATTTTGCTGCACTTTTAAGTGCTTTAACTTTTGAATTAAAGATTTTGGAAACATGAACTAATAGAGAAATACGGCCATGTCTTGAACAGGTAACATGCTATAATACAATGAAGTCTGAATGGTTAGTATAATCAGTTGAATGGTATCTAATTTCCCTTTTCGTATTAGAAGCTGAATTATACTGCAGCTATACTCCTTCCTTTTTGTAACTTTCAGCCATAAACGAAAGAAAGCTATAATAGATAGTCTATATGATAACAAGTATAGTCTGAGGTCTTGAAGTGAGCAAAATAGATTCAAGCTAATCTACCACCTTCATTCCCTAGCATGATAAAATGTATGTTGCCTTCTCATGTTACAGAAGGATTTTGGCTGGTAAGCCTTATTTTTCTTCATTATATACTTCTCATGTTACAGAAGGATTTTGCCTTCAGACAAGGTTTATTGCTCATAGAGCTATACATTTAAGCTCACTTTTGGTTGGTAGGGCCTTAATAAGCAATTTTGCAATGAGCATATGCCAAAGGGGGATGCTGTATTTGACTTGGACGGTGAAAGTGGAATGGATTAGAAGGCAAAATATCTTGTAGAAAAGGTTGGCTTTAGTGGTGGATGGAGAGGTTTCTCCCTAGCTCACAAATTGCTGCAGGGCGACGTCTTGGTTTTTCAACTAGTCAGGCCAACTAAATTCATGGTGCTTGTTTGAACCATCTTTCAGGTGTATTTATGATCTTTAAATTAACATTTATATAGTTTTGATTTGCATCTAATTTGAAATTGAAGGAATTTAAACATCTTCAAGAACCATTTGGACAGGTGTGCATTTGAAATGATGTCAATTTTTATTACGAGTGAAAATTATAAAAAATCAACGTGATGTCAATTCCAAATCCACCTTCATTTCAAAGGACTATATATCCAAATATCGGCTTGTATTTTCTATGAATAACATTTAAATACTTCAAAAGAAACCTCTGGAACCAGCAGATTGAAATTGTTAGTTTGTGGTGCTTGTGAACTTGCAAAACACACAAGGTATTCTTATCCTTCTATGAATAATAAAAGTTTTTGTAATTTTGTTCTTCCATTGAGGATTGTGAAGTATCATTCTTGGATATGATAGTGGCATTATCTCTGTTTCCTGAACTGGTACAATCTACTTCAATTGCTCTTTGCCGTTTAAGGTCTACACTGTGAGGTAAATGGTTCTGAAGCCTTCTGCAATTGGATGCTGTTGTGAAAACCATGAATTCTAGCTAGTTTTTTCACTGTTTATTTCACAGTTACTGTCATCTTCCAATTGTAAACGATTCTCGTGTTTTCATAATTCCTGCAGAGAATCTGATTACGGCTAGTGAAGAAAGAAAAAATCAGGAGCTCCTTGTACTGGGCAATCCAGATTTAAAAAGTTGAAAGAATATCATGATGTCTGAAAATGAGAGTGAGGAGCTTGGCTTTGATGTTTTGGATCGAATTCAATTGTCAGAGTCGGTGATTGACTTTACCAAAGTGAAAAGTTGTGAGGATTTTGACATTCTAAATAATGGTTTAGTCATAAACTCTGAGCTATCCAAACACCTTCAATACAAATATTAAGATTTTTGCTGCAGTCAAAAGTCATTTCTTCATGAGCATCTAGTTGGCAGCCTTAATTGTAAGCTTGCTGCAGGAGTAATAGTGGAAACTATTAACATTGCAGGTGCCATTCAAGCTTCCAAGCTTATTACACCCGGAGATAGTTTTGCTACTTGGGAGGACTCTGAAAGCCTTCAAGACATTGGGGATGAACATTGACTTCTTGCTCGAACCATTGGAACATTTGATGAGCCTTGCTGCTAAGTTGAGAAGACATAAGGAAGCTAGACTTGAAAAAACTAATGCAGAAAAAGAGATGAGAATTCTTGAGGCAAACCTTTCAAATTTAAAAGAGTTGACTAGCAGGCTTGATATAGAGATTCAACAGTTGGAGCCAAATGCTGAAAACTATGAGCTTATGCTTATGTTCCAAGAAGTGGCTAAAGCCCCATGGTGACCAGAAACATGGTATTTATTTTGGGAAAATTTTTGTCCGGTAAGCAAGAAGGTGGCTGGGAGCAATGTGTGCGCTACACCATGTGAAAGCCTAAGCAATAACTCTTTATTTTGTTGCAAGATCAGTTTGGCTATGCTGGCAACCTGCTGTGCGCGAGAGCTGAGATATTAAAAATGGCAGCTTCCCTAAGAAGTTGAAAAATAGAGTTTGTTTGTGAAGCTCTACTTTGATTCCTCGAAGCCAAACATTGCCATAGCATATTAAATGAAAGCTTGGGCGTGGTAAATACTGTCTAACAATGTTAACAAAGAAATGTAATTATTTCATACATTAATGTAAATGACAACTTGGAAATGGGAAATTCTGCTCTGAGGATCTGAAGTTTGATTTCTGATTAGCACATTTGTTTGACTTACTAAAATTGCATATGCATTTCATTCAATTGGTTCAACCATCATCTAAAGAATGAATTGCAGGAGTCCGATACAAATACAGAGAACCACAAGATACAGAAATTCAACTACCATCGTCTAAAGATTGTTCTACGATAAACGTCGTTTGATAGTTCAAGAAGCTATCTTTAACAGACACATCAATTCCCCTCTTAACTAAGGGACAGCTAATATCAACATTTTCCTAAACCACAAATCAGTTGTATGAATAACAATACCAAGTAAAAAAACGATTCACACCATGAAAATCCATAGACATTAGTTATGTGAATATCCTTCTGCAATCTGTATAGGAATGGAATTGCACAAAATAGAACATGTTTTTGAGACAAATTTCATAACTAGAAATATGACAAAACCTCCTGCAACAGTATAATAATTGTTCTATCCTAAAATCTCACTTCAAGTTTACATCTTAGATTGTTTAGAGCAGCTTAGCAGCTTTTGCACAAGCGGATCATCTGGCTTGTTCATAACTAAATTTATTACAAGCTCTGTGGTGGTGGCATCTGCAAAAAAACCCTTGCCAACCATTTCATCAATAAGTTGTGTTGCCATGGACAAATCATTGTGCCGGAGATATCCTTGGATAATCACATTATAAGAGCAAATATTTGGTAAGCAACCATTCTCTTCCATTTTCCTAAAAACCTTGAATGCTTCATCTAGGAGTCCTTCTTTACAAAGTCCATTGATCATTATAGTGTATATATACACATTAGGCTGCAACCCTTCTATAGAAAGTCTAGAAAACAGTTCCTTTGCATCTTTCAGCTTTCCAGCTTCGAACATACCATCAATTAGAGCACTATATACAGTTATATCAGGCTTCAATGAGTTTTTCTGCATTTCATGAAATAGGGACAACGCCACATCTAGACACTGATGCTTACAGAAGCCATCTATCAAAATTGAGTAAGTTACCACATCTGGAGAACATCTATCAAAATTGAGTAAGTTACCACATCTGGAGAATGGCCACTAGCACACAAGTCCTTGAAAAACTTATATGCAGCTTGAGGGCTCTTTGCTTTACACAAGCCATGTATAAGAGAATTATAAGTGACATGGTTAGGAATCAATCCTTTGTGATGCATTTCATCAAGAAGCCTCATTGCCTCAGCTATCCTTTTTCTCATACAGTAACAGTCAATCATGATACTATAGGTAACAACATCAGGTGTACAACCCTTGCTTAGCATCATGTCAAAAATTTTTCTAGCTTGATCCATTTTGTTGAGTAGACAACATCCATTCATCAAAGAGTTGTAAGTCGCAACATCAGGCTTTATTCCTCTTTGAATCATCCATTTGACTATACCATGAGCCTTTGCAACCCTTCCTTCCTTACAAAGTCCATCAACCAATATGTTGAACATAATTAAATTTGGTGCGATGTTCGCTTCCAAAATTTCATTGAGCTGCATAGAAGCTTCTTCCCATCGGCCTAAATTGCACAGACCATAGATTAAAGAGCTGTAAGTCACAACATCAGGCTTTATTCCTCACGATCAAGCGTGAGTGCGCGTGCGTGAATCATCCATTGACTATACCAAGTGAACCTTTGCAAACGCAGTTCTTCCACTTAACATATATCTATCTATATCTCATGCATTGTGAAGGGTAATTAAATTTGGCGCGATGTTCCTTCTATAAGCATTTCAATTGAGCTGCAGAAGAGAGCGCGTGCGCGTGATCGGGGCCTGTAATTGTCACAGACCATACGATTAAAAGAGCTGTAACAGCCGAGCAATATTAGGGCTTTACTTCCTCTTGAATATATCAATTATTGACAAGGGTAAATTAATTATTAGTCCCCCAGGAGCATAATGTAATCAACTAATCCCAAGTTTTGAGAAATAATCTAGCTAGTCTCAGCGTTTATCGTCTATATAAAACGGGTCTTCCTACAAAAGTTGGTTTTTTTCCGTTATTATAGAGCGAGAGAGAGCGAAGAACAGCGCCTCCAGTTGAGCGGTGGTACCATCAAAAGGGCGGAAAATTATGTATCTCGTTTCAGCTCAGGTTTTACATATATATATTTCTAAACTAATCCCATCAACCGTTTTGCGCAAATATCTAAAACTAGTCCCTCAAGTTTAAACTCCGTCTAATTGAAAAGGTCTTTCCGTCCTGAAAAGTTAGTTTTTTTCCGTTAATTGAAACAAAGACTAAAAGACTAAAACACTTCTCCCTAGCTGAGTGGACCAGTATGAAGGCGATAAGGGGAGGGAATTGTATAACTATAAAGAACTAAAAATAATAATTTTTCCTATAATTTTAATGCACATGTAGAATATTGTATAGACTAAAGCTAATTACACAGTAGGAAAATTAGCTTGCTAAATTTGAAACATGAAAACTTGAAATGAGTTTCAATATAAAAGTCGAATGGAGGACAATTACCTTTTTTTGTCTATAGATAATAGGTACTTTTTTTATCGAATAATAACTATCCTTCATTTAGAGCTCGGATGTTTCTCCCAAATAAATCTTTTTTTGTTTATGTAATATTAATGATTAATCTAATTTTGCTTTTTTCCAATTTTATCTTTATTTATATTAATTAATAATTATTTTAACACTAATTTTCCAAAGATCATAATAACACTCCTCTCTTATTTAAGGTTACGTAATAACATTAATTAATATTTTGGTTTATAAATTTTAGTAAGAATGAATTTACTTTATCTTAATTACCTATAAAAACATTAAAAGTATTTATAATAGAAATTTGGGAATACTTTGTTTTTTTTTTTTTAATTTTTTTATCAATGATAATAGTAATGTTTCTTGATAAAATTTGCATATTAAATATGAATAAAATAGAAAATTATGTTTATTACTTTTTGTCTAAAAAAGAAACTATGATGATAAGTTGGGGTAAAAAGAAAAATGAGGTATTTACTTTTTTGAAGAGGTATTTACTTTCATGATTCAGTTAAATTTAATAATATTTAATTAGAACATCAAATTGATTTTTTTATCCTTTTTTTAATACTGTCTTTGTTCCATAATACTTGTCAGATTTGAGAAAATAGTTTGTTCTAAAATATTTATCTAATTTGGTCTAAAATACTTGTTATATTCTAAATACTCTGTTATATTGCATGTTGTTGCGGTTTTAAGGAGTAATAAATATTTTTTACATATTTTACCCTTTGTTAGATAGATTAATTATTATTTCAATTATGATTTTCTTAGAGATAATAATTAAGAGTAATATTGTCAAAATTTATTCAATAATTTATTATAATTTATACAAATTTAATAATTTTTTTAAAAGACATGAAATTCTAAATGTGGGGAATATTATAGAATGAAGATAGTAATATTTTAGAGACATAATTATATTTAATGGTTTTCAATTTGCAAATATTCATAATCTAAAACTAAACCGTACATTTAAGAGAGAAAAATTATTATATCTCCATCGACTTTATATGAAGCTCTTCAATTTTCATTTTTAAATTTAGCGAAGCTAATTTTCCTACTCGTGTAATTAAGCTTAGTCTATACAATTCTACATGTGCATAAAATTATAGGGATTATGGGAAATTATTATTTAAGTCTTTTATTTATTACCAATTCCTCCCTTATTCAGCTTCATATTGGTTCCACGTCAGTTAGGAGAGGTGTTTTATCTTTTATCTTCAATTTAACGGAAAAAAACTAACTTTTCGGACGAAAGGACCTTTCAATTAGACAGAGCATAACCTGAGTGGACTAGTTAGATATTGCGCAAACTTGGGATTAGTTAGATAATTATTAAAACCTGAAGGACCTAAATAATAATTTTTCCTATGTCCACTCAGCCTGGGGAGGGTGTTTTATCTTTTTAGTCTATAAATTAACGGAAAAAAACGCAACTTTTCGGAGCGGAAGAAACCTTTAATTAGATGAGTTAAACCTGAGGGACTAGCTAGATATTTGGGCAAAACCTGTGATTAGTTGGTTAATTATGTAAAACCTGAGGGACTAAATAATAATTTACCCATTTGACAATACCATGAGCCTTTGATACACTTCCTTCCTTACAAAGCCCATCGACCAATATATTGAAAGTAATTAAATTTGGAGTGATGTTTGCTTCCAACATTTCATGAAGCAGCATAGAAACTTCCTCCCAGCGGCCTGCCTTGCATAGACCATAGATTAAAGAGCTGTAAGTCACTACATCGGGCTTTATTCCTTGTTGAATCATCAATTTGACTATACCATGAGCCTTTGAAACCCTTCCACACTTACAAAGACCATCAACCAATATACTGAAGGTAATTAAATTTGCTGTGACTTTCGCTTTCAACATTTTGTTAAGCAGCATAAAGCTTCCTTCAATCGGCCTGACATGCACAGACCATGGATTAAGGAGTTGTAAGTCACAACACTCGGCAAGATGCCTTCACTCTTCATTTTCAAGAAGAGCTCTAATGCCTCAGTAACCAATCTATCCTTACAAAGGCTGTCAATGTACAAAGGCTGTCAATGATAACACTATATGACACCACATCAGGTTCACAACCTTCCTCGACCAGTCTTTTCAGAATACCAAAGGCCACATTGGTTTTTCCAATTTTACACAGACCATTCACAATGACGGTATAGGTATAGACATCAGGTTGATACCCTTTTGCAATCATCTCATCATATAATTCCACAGCTTCATCAAATCTATCCTCACTACAAAGCCCGTTAATCAAGGTATTAAGCGTTATAATGTCAGGCTGAAAACCAAGTTTGAAGATTTTCCCAATGAGAGAGAACCCAAAATCCACGCGGTCCAGATGGCAAAAGCAATTAGTCAAACAAAAAAAAAAGAAAAAAGCAATTAGTCAAGATTATTTATCAATAATAATATCGATGCTGAAATATATTCCTACACAATTTCCATCTGTTTGAAAGAAGAAATTACAGTCTCATAACGTTTCATTCGAAACAAGTGGCAGATAATAATATTTAAATTCAGAATACAATTCCATCTGTTTGTAAAGAGAAATTACAGTCTCATAACGTTTCATTCGAACAAGTGCAGATAATAATTTATTAAATTCCAGAATAGATGGTGAGGGATTACTATGAAGCATTAACTGGAAAGCAGCCAAAGCATCATCAGTGTTATCGAAAGAATAAGATTTGCTTTTACCTCTGGCGTGTGTACTGGTAGAACTAGTATAAGAAACTGAATCAAAAAAACCCATCAGCCGATGAAGCCGAAAATTAGTAAGGCATCTGCTGGTAGTTAAGAGCATCTTGGATAATATTATGAAAATAAAGCGAAAGACCCAATCTTGTATATAGTTTTTGGGAGAAATTTGATAATGGCGAGAAGCGATTTGGTCTGATTTAGTGTCCCCCGTTGATGTCTAGCGGAAGAGAGAAGATAAGCTACGGGCTTTTGTGGAGGGCTGGCTGATATGAGCTTTGGAATTAGAGAGCAGAAAATAGCGTCAACATTAAATTCAAATCCTTTATTAGTGGAGTATTATTTTTCGTTATGAAAGTCTAAATTGTTTATTAATATAAAATTCTTTAATTACATGAAAATATTAATTATTTATTAATAAAAACGACATGAAAAAAAATTGAATTTGCAATATTTGAAAATATATTGCAATAGTTGAATGATGGAATCATATAAAAAGTATAACAAGAAACTCTATTTATTTAAAAAGAGTTAAGAGAAAGCATTATATGGGATTATTTTCATTCATTTTTAAAAATTTCTTTTAAAAAAAATTATTGTTTGAGATATATTTTCAAAAGGGTAAAAAAAAAATTTCAATATTTAGCCCATTAGATGCTTATAAAATATACTAAGTAACAAAAGAATATATGATGCAGTTTTAGAGGTAAGCAAATAAATTATTGTGTTCCATTATAGGTGACAAGCAAAAATATGGCCATGCTCTTTTCAATAATTCCAACCTCCATCAAGTATTTGAAAATTCTGATATACACTATCAGTAATTAACAGTCAAAAGATAACTCATGTAGCCATTATAATACTGATATACACCAACTGACAATAAACTACAAAGAACACCCTTACTCACAGAGCACATAATCAAAAAATGAAAAAGGCTGCATCATAACTGTAATTCAATGCAAAAAATTATTGTTGTACATTTTTTCTTCAATAGAGTCACATATTTATACATATACAAGATACTATAAACCTATTAGGAATCTAACTCCTAAAAGAACTCTATTTACAACTAGTCCTTAACACCCCCTCAAGTTGGAGCATAGATGTTAATCATGCCCAACTTGTTACAAAGATAGTCAATTCGAGGTCCATTTAGAGCTTTTGTAAAGAAATATCTTAACTATTCACTTGTTTTAACGTACCCCGTAGAGATAACACCCTGTTGTATTTTTTCACGAATCAAATGACAATCAATCTCAATATATTTCGTTCATTCATGAAATACCGGATTTGACGCAATGTGAAGAGCAATTTGATTATCACACTATAACTTTGCATACAAAGGCGACTTGAAGCCAATTTCCTCTAACAATTGACGAATCCAAATCAATTCACAACCAAATTGTGCCATAACTCGATATTTTGATTCAGCACTCGATCGTAAGTCTACATTTTATTTCTTGCTCCCCCACGGTATCAAGTTTCCGCCCACAAAGACACAGTATCCTGAAGTTGATCTTCTATCAACCTTCAAACCTGCCCAATTCGCATCTGAAAAACACCCAATGTCCAAATGCCCATGATTACTATAAAGGAGGCCACGACCTGGATTATCTTTCAAGTAGCACAAAATTTGTCCTAAAGCTTCCAAATGGATAATAGTAGAAGAAGATATAAACTAGCTTAAGACGCTCACAGAGTAAGCAATAGATAATATAGAAAAGATATAAACTAGCTTTAAGAACGCTCAGCAGAGTAAGGCAAATAATCTATATGTGTTACCAGTAAGATGTATTTCAATTTGCCACTCACCAATCTTCTATACATCTCAGGATCATCAAATAGCTCACCATTAATTGAAAGTTATAAATTAGGAGTCATTGGAGCACTGCATTGCTTGGCACCTAACTTTCCAATTTCCTTCAGTAAGTCAAGGACATACTTCCTTTGAGATAAAAAGATGCATCTCTTACACCTAGATACTTCAATACCCAAAAAGTACTTCAACGATCTTAAGTCTTTTGTTTGAAACTGAGTCTGGAGGAATGTCTTAAGTGATGTAATGCTGGCTGAATCACTCCCTATAATAATAATGTTATCAACATAAACCACAAGTAGAATCAAACTATCTTAGTACTTTTGAAAAATATAGATTGATCAGAAGTACTCTTTTGCATGCTAAATCGGTGTACCACATCGCAAAATCAACCAAACCAATCTTGAGGGCTCTATTTTAGGCCATAAAGAGATTTGCGAAGTTTACATACTTAACCCGACTCCCCCCTAAGCAACAAAGCCTGGCGGTTGCTCCACGTAAACTTCCTCCTGAAGAAAGGCATTCTTAACATCCAGCTGATGTAAAGGCCAATCAAAAGTAATTGCTAAAGAAATAAATAAACGAACAAAAGACAATTTGGCTATGGGAGAAAAAGTTTTAGAGTAATAAAGGCCATAAATTTGAGAATAGCCCTTAGCAACTAAACGAGCCTTAAGAAGAGCAACAGACCCATCAGGATTCACTTTAATGGTGAAAACCCACTTGCAACCAATAGCTTTCTTACTTTTCGGGAGAGACACAAGATCCCAAGTACCATTAGTATCTAAAGAAAACGCTTTTTAATGGAATAAGTGGCCACACCGTAGGAGGCCATACAAGTCTCTCTTCAGATTATTTTTAAACTCAACCTGCCCCAAGTCTGCTTTGCAAGTTCTAGACGAACCGGCCTTAAGAAGACCGCGGCCATCCATCATGCCTCGCGCCACCCTAACCACACTTCCCTTAGCCGGGATTTCTCTTTTAATTAACCCATGGTGTCTTTGTGTTTCAATGCCAATTCCCAATTTCTTGAGCACCATTAACCTCTAAGTTTTACATGGTTCGGTTTTATATGTACTTGTCACTTAAGGGAGAGACCAAAGCTTTGGAAATTAATTAGATATATCCCATCCCAATGTTTACACACGAAGGAAGTTCCCTTATAGACCTCCAATATAGGAGCCGTAAAAAGAAGCCATCTCGCGTCCGTTTCATTGCCTCGCACATCAATCATCCCGCGAAGATTTAGGACAATAACGCATTGAACAACATAAATGCTCTTTTCGATAAACCGAAAACCTCTGCCTATTTATTATTAGGAGGCCCTTTCGAGTGCATGACCTGTTACCACAGTCATGTCTTAACTCTCTAGTAGTATATACTTTCCCTACCCCAACCATAAGACAACATACATAGAAAATGGAAAGAATGGGACAAAGATGGCAAATCATATTACAACCTGGGGTCAACAAATACCCAGAAGAGTTAAAAGTAGCAGAAATACGATTAGAAATATTTACGTTCCTCGCCATTTACTTTTGCAAATGAGCTTATAACCCTGGAATTAAAATAAAGGTTTCTTTAAGAGAGAGGGGCCTGACCTTGAGGAGTTGATGGATCCCGGTTTTAATTTGAATGAATCCGGTTAACCATTGGGTAGTGTGAGAAGGCCCTCCTTAAAAAAGTGTTGACGTACAGAGGTGAACCAAATTCTTATCGGATCCCTTCTGTAAAGGTGATATCTAAGGTGCCAATTAATTGGGAGTGGGGGTAATAGTGGGTATGATCGCCTTAATTTCCGAACAGTCTGGGTCTTAAAGTAGCTCACATTAAAAAGTTCAGTTAACTTCTGTGTGGCTTCTGCGGAATAAACCTCTTTTAAAAAAATAAATAAAGCAGCCTTAATTAAGGCACCGATATCAATTTTAAGGCTAGACTTGTTAAGATTTGTGCACTTAAAGTAAGGTTGCCCATTATAGGTCAGATTGAATCTCCTTTGGCAAACAAGAAATTGACGTTATAAGTGAGCAATTAAAAATCCTTTTTAAAGCCGACAAACACAATTCCCGGCCATTTGATAAAAGCACCCAAGAGTCCGCTGGCAAAGACTAACTGTTAATTAGATCATATGCTGTATGTGACTATAATTAGAAGCCGAACTTAAAACAAAGACGAAATTTATTAGACCGCAGCACAAAAGATGCGCTCAGGAAGTCCCTCGACTAGAACACTTTTGGCAAGAATAGTATAGAATCTATAAAATTGCGCCTAACATTCCCCCCACACTTCATTTTTGGCCCCTTTTAACCAACACTACAGACCCTTACCATTAAATTACCTAAATTCCCAAAGAATGCTTATGGGCAAGAAAGATGCCCCAATCGAGCAGTAGTTCTCAAAGACTATGTGAAAAACATTTCAATTACTCCCATGGTGTAATTGAACAACAGGAGAAAATACCCAAATTGTGTGGGCCCCGTACAAAGTTTCAATTTCCGCGTGCTTTTGGCGCCTAAAAAGCCTTAAGAGAATGCCGAAACAACGTATTATTTTACCCTGGCCTAATTTGATTGACATCAAGAAAGATGGAAACGCTACACCGGTCGAAAAAAACTCGCAACATCCCAAATCAAATCTAACCCTATGTAGGAAAACATTGTCCACCCGTATAATAACTAATATGTGGAGAAACACAATGCCATGGATACAAACAAACCCACAACCTTCTCCAATCCATACTTAAAACAAGAAACAAGCTATTACAAAAACCCCCCAAAATTTCCAAAAAAGCCCCCTACGAGTGTTTCAAATAGGAAGGGCCTGAAATTAGCCGAAAGCCTTATGAAATAGGATAACTGCACCTTTTGAAGAACTCTTTTATATAGCCCGATTACCCCGAGATACCCGGAATTGTAACGTCAACCGAGTCCGTTAAGACACTCGTATGAGGGAAGTGTCCTTTCAATACGAACCTCCCCTGAGAGAATAGACCAGAAGAAAGAATTACCCTGAAAAATCTACCGTCTAACCTTTTTACTATTGGGATCCCAAGAGTGAAAATAGCACATTTCAAGTCTTTTTGCCCAAAAAAGCATTAGTCAATTCCATAGGTGTTTAAGATTCCGGACCTATATTCATATTGGAGACTAGAAGTTGCATGACCATAGTCTCGGGATCCCACCCCCCTTCGGAGAGTCATTCAAGCTTTTAGAGCCCGAATGCCCCCGATATGTCGATTTTATTTTTACTTTACATGTCATGACGGAACTACCGAATTTTTAATTAGATCGATAGCCCAGGAAAAGTTATAGGTCAACACAAGTTAAAGTATGTTTATAAGAATTGTGGAGGTCCAACTTTTGAGAGAAGCGTGGATTTTCTTTTTTTCTCTGCCACAAATTTTAGATATTAATCGCACCTAGAGAAAAACTAAAAATGATAGAATTAAAAATTTCGGTTTTGGCAG